TTATTTCAAAATTAATGCTGCAATACTTTCGGCATAACGGAGGATCTTGCAAAGCCATTTGAGGTTATATTACCCATTAAGAGGATTTTCATCCACATTGACTCTTTTTTTAGCACGGTAAGTAAGTAATTTCCGTTTGAGTACAGCTTCAGTGCTACAATTTTCTGGTACTTCTTGACTCTCATCTTCACTTGATAAATCTAAATATAATAAATGTAAATAAATCATGAAAAAAGTTCTTTTGAGGTCGCTTTTACAATTTAAACATAATATAATTATTTTCATAGCAAAATGTGATTATTTGTCACAAATATAAATTATATGAAAAACGTTTAATGTTTTTCATATAATTTATATTTGTGACAAATAATCACATTTTGCTATTGATTTGACACATTTTACTGTCAAAGTCATAATAAATACATATAAAATTTAAATTAAGACAAAAATAAAACAAATAACTAACCGACATTTACAAGGAAACTAAAAAGCCATTGTTTCACTGACCTCTATATATACAAGTACACTGGACTGGCTATACCATACAAAATGACTGTGCCAATTTGAAGCGCCGCTAAAGGATGTCTTGTAAAATAAAATTGACATGATATGCCAAAGTCTGTTGTCTTATTTATATTGTCGTATTTAAAAAATCTTTATTTTGAACTTTTAAACTAAAAAACGAAAGTTTTTTATGTTGTTTGATTGTGTATAATATTAGTTACATAATAAGAATTATTTTTATTAATAATGAGAGTGTGCGTAATCTGTAAAACTCGTTACCAAAAGGGAAGTGGTGTAACATTTCACAAGTAAGTGAATTTGCAGCAAATATTAAATAAATAAAAACTATTTGATAATATAAGTACTTAAGAATTTGTTACTAATCTTAATATCATTTATACCAACATGTTTCGCTGTATATTACTGAGTTTTGATAAACAATAAAACTCAATAGGGTTGTCGAGTTCCTTGTCTATAATACTTATCGATGTTCTTTCGTACCCATATCTGTTAATAAACAAAGTCGCCAACAACAGATGATTATCAAATGTTTATTAATTAACAGGTTTCAAACTGAACCTAGACTCAAATTATGGCTTAAAAGCATAAATATTGTGAATTGGCGTCCGAAACAAAATGATCATATTTGTTCCAAACATTTCACAGACGACTGTTTTATTAGACATGAGAACTGCACCACTTTGAAAAAGTGCAGTATACCGACAATATTTTATGGTAGTACCAGTACCAGTAAGTATAAAAGTATTAGATTATTATTTAGAATGTTTTTTATTTCTACTTTCCTAATTTTCCACCAAACTCAAGGGGCCATAGCCAAGTGTCGAAATGTCGCCTGATGATGTCGAGCCACGTTGGATGTGTGTTAGTTGGCTGCGGCTAGAGGAGATTCCTCTCCCTGTACCGCTGTAGTCGAGGTGGAGTAGTAAGGGAAGAAGAGTGTTGGTATGGCAATTGGCGATGCGCCACTCGACTATCTTTCGCGACTTTGGTGAGACCACCACTTGATGCTTCCAAGTGCTCATTTTTCCCTGGCTCCATTCACATATCGGGCTCGGGGAGTCCGTAGTGCAGGTGGAGTTAGAGGCCGCGAAGGGAAGTGTGGCTTGTGTTTCTGGTGCGCCTTATCTGAGAATGAAATCGGGGAGGAGAAGTCAGCAACTAAGGAGGGGCTGTCATTGGGCGGCTGGCGCTAGAGGGGCCGCGGATGTGCATGAAAGCGTTTCCTTGGTCCTGCCTTCGTCCATAGTCATACTCATAGTCCATAGTGCGGTGTAGTTCCTAAAAAACTGTATCTACGACGGATCATCGCTGCTGGTAATAAGAAGTTGTTTAGTTTGTTGCTTCCTCGCTCGAAGGCTAAGTATAGCCATTCAGAGAGGACACGTAGCCAGCATTCTTGGGACGATACCACGGAAAGTAGGACTGTATAATAATTTCAGTTATTTTTTTTAAAATATTGTAATTTTAATTTCGAAAATGACGCTGTAAATAACTGATAAATATGTAATTCAAAGTTTATATATATATATATATATATATATATATATATATATATATTATCTAGCTCGTACCCGGCGCATTGCTGCCACAGAAGAAATAATTGTGAAAATATTGTTAAAAATGTTGAAGAGTTGTATTGTATAATTAGGAATGATAATACTATCATTGAAATTGAATGATATATAACTTTTTGTAACTTTCAAATAAATAAATAGTCAGTATAATACGCACGCCACCTAGTGTCAGTTAATTGTACTATGCGTATAACCTTCGTACAAGTGCAACCAATAGGTTGACTAAGTTTTACCGCAATCTGATGAACGGTATGGCATCGTAGAAAGTACGAACAAACATAAATTTTTATATAGTAGAAAATATTTTACTGTCTATACACAGACCTGTAGTTGATTAGAATAAGCGTGATTATAGCAGCTGATTTGTTTTTCTTTATAATGCTAGAACTAAATGAACGGTTGACAATAAATTATTTTAGAAACTATGTTTTTTATTTTTATTTTCTGTGTGTAGATAGTTTAAATCTTAATAATTTTTTGTTGAATGGTCTAAGGGCTACGATGGCTATCCGAGTACAAAACTAATCCAACTGTAGAGATGTGTAAGACATGGTGACGTGATATCCCTGAAATATTTTACAGCTGTATTGGAAGACGTTTTCAAGCTGCTGGACTGGAAAGGATATGGTATTAACGTCAATGGCGTGTACGTCACTCACCTTCGATTTGTCAACAATATAGTCATTATAGTCGCTGGAGGACCTACACACTATATTCAATGACCTGAATAGTGTCTCCCAACGGATAGGTCTTAAGATAAACATGGACAAAACAAAAGTCATGTGTAATATCCATGTCACACTTATGCCGGTGGTTATTGGAAGCACTTAGCTGAAGTTGTTGACGAGTATTTTTCTCGGGACAAATAGTCCGACTAGGTAAGTTTTTTCGACCGACAGGTCAATCGACGGATTCTACTCGGCTGGGCAGCGTTCGGGAGATTACATCTTCTCGTCAGGAATACCTCAAAACTAGATTGTACAACAAGTCCGTGTTGCCAGTGATGACTTATGGATCTGAGACGAGGTCTTTCACTGCTGGCCGTATGAGGAAGTTTGAAGTCACTCAGCAAGCTATGAAGAGGGCTATGCTCAGGGATTCAAACTTAGGAATGAGGATATCTGCAGCAGAACCAGAGTGATCGACATCGACCGATGGATTAGTAAGCTGAAGTGACAATTGACCGGCCATATAGCTTGAAGAACCGAATACCGATGGGGGAAAAAGGAAAAAAGGGAGTGGCAGCCTCGTACCGGCAGGTGAAGTGTAGGACGTTCCTCCACTAGATGGAGTCAAAACCTGGTAAGACATGTAGAAAGTTGATGGATGCAGGTAACTCAGGACCGTGCTTTGTGGCATTCCTTGGGGGAGGCTTATGTTCAGCAGTGGACTTCTGAAGGGTTTTAATGATGATGAATTGTATTATTAATGTATTATATTAATATGATACATAAATAGAATGGACGATACGGGTAGGGTCCATCTATCCACGGAGTCCATTCTATTTATTTAGGTATAAGTAGGGTATAGAATTTTTATCGATATAATTTGGTACACTGTCTTATCCCTATTATTAGTTCCATGTATGTTCACTACTGTTGTCATCGCCAAAATGGCTCAAATCAAATCGCCTCATCATGTCACGGTGCATAGCCAGTCCAGCGTACTTGTATGTATAGAGGTCAGTGCATTGTTTCCTTTCTAAATCCTAGAAACATTTTATACGCGGATAATTTAAAGAGTACTTTATTAAAGACTATTTTATATTGGAACGAGTGTTTCTTAATTTGGTCGGATTATACCAGCCAGGTTTGTTTGTTTACATTCTATTTTTTCGTAAAATGAGAAGGATAAGTATCAAGACAGCTACGACTAACGAAATGTTAAAAAAAGACGTCAATACCTATTGAAATAATGATATTATGATAAATTTCTAGACTAATTATTTGCTAAAAAAGCGAAATATGCAATTTGTTTACAATATCATATATAAAAAAATAATGAACCGAACTTAATAAAATTTCTGTAAGACTTTTAAGTAGATAATTGGCTAAATCATTTTACAAGTAACCGAGTTATGTGGCAGCAGAAAACAACGATATTGAGTGGAAAGATTGCCTAAATCACACCCTAACTAAACCATTAAACTATGTAAACAATGCCTCAAGGAAAAATTAATTAATTAAAATTGTATATGATGAAACTTGCCTGCGTCAGATTTCATCTTCTGTAATTGTTTTTCTTAACTCATGATCTCAAATATGGAAAATTCTATTGGGTGCATCGACTTTAGATGATTTTTTAAAAATGGGATGGTTCGGCCCTTGCGAGAGTAGCTTTTATTGCATATTTTATAATCAGCTTTATCATGGTCCTCTTTATTTGGTTCAAAATAATTCCATATATTACTTTGTGTCGGTGGTAACTTGTTAGATAATTTAACAATAACGGGAACCTCGCCGCATAAATAAAGAATATTGTTTAAAATGATAAACTTTACCTAGGGTAAGGAGTACAATGATTGGCCCTTTAAGGTGATCATTGAATTTGAAAATTTCTTATACCTAAATAAGGTTCATAATCATATAACATTTACTGTCAAGTTGTGTCTTAAGAACCTGGGAAATTGAATAAATCACAACCATAATCATTTTGCATCTAATTAATAACTTTATTGCAATAAACATAAAAAAAGGAGCCAAAAGTACAATCATTGGCCATTGGTGTATAGAAATTGGCATATCAAAAGTATAATTATTGGCATGTCATGTCATGTCAATCATTGTACTTTGTGTTTATTAGCACTGCCAATTATTATACCATGTTAGGGCCAATCACTAAAAAAATTATAATATTTAACGATAGTGATATGCAAGGTATAATTTTTTTATCGATTTATATTTACATCGAGCTTTCGTCCATATTTAGGTATTCATCATTAAGAAAATTACTCAGTTCTTCTTCATTACGGAATGTCTCTCTTCTGTTTAGTATAGATTTGGGTTTGGATAAAACGAATGGTACCTTTGTATCAACGCAACTGTTTTCATTAAAAATATTTCTTGGATTATGCATAACTGGCGCCTTCACAACAGACAAAATTTTAATGTTACTTTCTTTATTAGGCTTTGGAGTAGTTTTTTTAATCTGGTCTATATCTAATAACTCAGTCTTGGTATCATCACACTTAAAAATATTGTTCTCAGTCTCTTTATCACATACATCTATTTTAATTTTTTTATTGTATGCAGTGGTTATTGATTTATCATATTTTCTTTTTCGTTCTTTTATTTCGGTTTTTGTTTCCTCTTTATTTTTTCTGTTATTTTCTTCAATTTTTGAGTTTTTATTTAATAGATGCCTAGGAACTTTTTCTTTTTGTCTTAATATTTCAATGTTTTCTAAGTTTTCCGAATCGATTTTCATATTTTTGGTATGCTTTGATATTTTTGTGACGCTTTTTACTGTCTGTTTTCTTTTCTCTTCTCTCTCTTTTTTACGTTCTTCTTTCTCTTTTTCTTTTGTTTTCTTCTCATTTTTTTTCTTTTCCTCGATTTCAAGCCATTTGCGACTAGTCAAGACATAAATGGGATTGTGGGTCATAATTTTCCCTTTACGTTGTGGTGTCTGGGGCCAATTGAGAATTTCTTTTAATTTCGGAGGTGTCATTTCGCTATCGCATTTAGCATTGCCAAAATTAAAATCATATTTTTTGTTATTTTCTGTCTCTGCTATTTGGTTTTGATTATTAATATTTGATTTATTAATAGTCTCTGTAACGTTATCTATTACTAATAAATTTGGGTTTGTTATTTCATTTGACTCTTTGTTTAGAACATTAACAGTCGCTGTACTTTCGCTCAGTTTGTCAACATTATGCATTTCAGCAATAGCTGTTAATTTAGGTGACATCAATTGATTAGGGCCTTTAACGACATTATCACTGGTAGGTTCCAGAACATTAAATATTTCATTTTTTAAGTAATTTTGAGTGTCTGAATCTGAATTCGCTATAAGTTGGCTCTGTTTGTAATTATTATTCATTTCAATAGTATTCCGAATATCTGCTGACAAATTGTAGGACTCTGTTAGGTTTAGGGTCTTCAAATCGTCAAATAAGTCTGTTGTAGGTAATTCAGTATTCTCTGTAGTTTCAGTTTCAATAGTGTCTGTATGAGATTCTTCAATATTATTGTAGTTTGAAATTACGATCGGTATGTCATTTATTGCCATCAATTTATTTTCAATTACTAAATAATCGCTTGAAATAGTACTGTCTTCCTGTTCTATATTTTTGCCTTTCAAATGGTCGTATATGTCTTTTAATGCTTTATAAAAACAATTTGATTTATCGGGTGTCTCAGAAGTAAGACGGGATACGATGTTTTGTCCCACGATTTTTTCAAATTCTGTGAATGTTATTGCCCTTTGTGGTCTGTTTTCTTGAATTCTGGTCGATTGGGTCACAAGCTCGAAATCCGTTTATAATAATTTGTTTGTCTATATATTTCTTTAATACTATGCCTAGTATTGGTCCAAAATCAATTTTTGTCAAATTTTTTTGTCGCATTTTCGCTTCTCCATTCTAAAACTCCCTTTTTCCATGCACTTTTTATCGGCTTAAAGGCAGCTACATCTGCGGGTTGTAAGATGCGAGTCGCGTTTGGGTATAATGCTATAAGTATTATACCTCTTTCTTTGCATGCTTTGCTAAGTTCAAAATTGATATGACTTTTGTGTCCATCAACAAACAGAAGAATGGGGAATTTTGTATTTTCTTTTATAAGATATGGATGTAAAACATTAGTTATGTATTGTAAAAATAGATCTTTGTTCATCCATCCATTTGATGACAGACCTAAACCCCATTCTGGAGGTACAGACGCCGTAATATCTGCTCTGTTACGTTTGAGTGGGTAGATAATCATCGGTGGAGTAATAACTCCGGTAGCCGAAAATGTGAACATCACCGTCAGTCCACATTTCGCAGGCGCGTTATCCACCTCATACACGTCGCGAGTACCTTTTAGGGCTAAAACTTTGGAGGTTTTTGGACATAACAAGAAATTTGTTTCATCGCCGTTAAAAATACGTTTAGGATCTCGTAGAATATGCCGAAATTCTTCTTCTTCTAACCAAGTTTCAATTTGCTGAAACCATTTTTTGATGTTCTCTTCTGATACATTGGCACTTGCCGAAGTAACAGCTTCAGCCGTTCTTTGTACTATTTCGGGGTGACGTTTAAGAAACAACTTGTACCACCCCTCTCCTGGCTTATTATCTATAAAATTATTTGGCCTAGGTGATTTCTTTAGAAAGTCAGTAACACTTTGTAATAGATCTTCTTTACGCCGTGGAAAACCTTTTCTACTGCTTTGTATTATCCACTCAACCAAAGTGTTTTCCTCGTCATTTGTAAGGATTGTAGGCGGACCCGGTCTCGTTTTTAAAAAATTCCCTTGTAATCGAAACTGCAAAGTTCCTCGAGGTATCCCAAATACTTTGGCAGCTGCTCTTTTAGACATACCATTTTGAATTGCTTGGATTGCCGCTTCTAAATCTTCCTCAGTATATTTTTTATATATACTTCTCCTTTTGCAGACTTTGGCATTTTTCTGCAACAATATATAAGCTTATTTTTTTTTTTTTTGTAAAAATCCCAATTATGTTTTTAAATATTGACTTGTTTTATTAGTTACTATATAGAACTTACGAAAAAGTAGAAATATAGCATGGAAAGAAAAACTAATAAATTATTTTTGAAGCAAAACCAGATATATATGCTATACTAAAAGATAAGAAAAATCTTAGGTTTCAAAAGTTTTAAACGATATTAAGCTGAATTAAACAACACACGAAACACTCAAATTCACCAAAACGTTCGGGCAAAGAATTAGACATTTAAACATGAGTTTAATATGTAACCCATAAAAATACATTAAATAAGTATACATAATTTAGTATCGACATCGGTACATCACTGCGTATTTAAGATCTCTTTGTACAAAAATTAGCATAGCTAAAAGTATAATGATTATCACGGCTAATAACGTAAATGTATAATGATTGGCCCCGCCAAAATATAGTTACTGCGAACTTATGACATTTTGATTATTGTCATTTAAAAGGGAGTTGTCAGTAGCATTTATCAAAAAGCTTAAAATATTGGAGTTAATTTAAAACGCTTACTACTATTATTGGCAGGGATGCCAATCAATTAATCTTTCATATCAACCATGGATACTAACTTTGGCCTACTTATTTTTAGGTTATCTTGAGTATTTTTACATCAATTATAATATGAAAATCTAAATTGAATGGTAATTGACATATAGAAATACATATCTCACAATTAGAATAAGAAGAAAACGGGTAAATATCAATATAAAAATACTTACTTCTTACGATTTTCGTAACAAAACACTCCCTTAGTTGTAGTGGCTGCAATGTGATTTTTTTTCGAGTGTTGCTAGCTGTGAAGTTTTAAAACTACCAGTTGCGTTCTAGAGTGTTGTCATCAAAGAAAAATATAACAACTTTTTTTCTACCTTGTACTCAAGGCTAACTCTTAATATATTGATTTTACATTCGAGAGGCCAATCATTGAGGGGGGGCCAACATTACTACTGCTTACCCTACAATAAAACGTATTACTGGTGTAACATAATGGCATTTACCTGACGATTTCCCAATAAACAATTATTTAAGTACACATAATGATCACTGTATTACAATAACATTCAAAATCTATTTATACGACAAGTAATCCAGAGCGCAAACAAACACGCTATGATTTATTTACAATAAACAAATGATGCATCACAAAAAACGCATCGGATCTTGTCCACCAATTTTTTCGCTCCCATTGGTCATTATCACGTGCGAACGGCACGCGCCATTGGTAACTCTTTCTTGGTCACAACTTGTATTACATTCGCATCCGCATGAAAATCTGCATTGATTATTGCGGATGCGGATGCAGAAGTTCAAATCTATGCGGAAGCTCCGCATTTGCGGATGCGGATGCGAATATTCGCAACATCTCTAATCTATACAGTATTCCAACTCCATACAAACGGACGAAGCGAGAGCTATACCTACGCGCCACGATCTCGGCATGCAGACAGTCGTGACTGTACCGCAGTGATGATTTTGTGGAATATATAAAAAAATGGAGGAAATAAATAATAGAATAGAAATAAATAAATAATAAATCTGAACTTCATTTAAAACCAAACATATAAATTGTAAAGTAGCTGCAGGTATCTATAACCAAGTAAAAGATATTCCTTTTCTCCATCTTGTTCATGTTTCCCAAAACAATTTTTAATGAAGCTTTATATTAGAATGCGGATTTTTTATACTTAAAATTTTAATAATAAAGCATTTCGTACGTCTCAGCCGAGGCGCAAATATTTTTCGGTCGCAAATTTATAAGACCGATTTTTTATTCAAACATAAACATGGTTTTTTAATTAAATCTACCAATAAAAAACGACACGCATTTTTATTGAACACTTCCTATTCAATTCACAAAGTATCAAAGTATTTGTTTATATAAAAAAAGTATATTTACAATCACAAAACTAAATGGAAACACAAAGTAGGCAAATGTAATGCTAGAGGCAGGCAGCCCTATCGCTGTAATGTTTACGTACCGTAAAACTCGCCAACTTTGGTTTTTAATTCTAACATTGGCCACTTGACAAAAATAACAAAAATTTGCTGTAGTAAAAAATATATCTCATATAGCAACATTTTACAACATATTGTGGAAAATAGAATATATTTCTGGCAATACCAATCATACGTTCGGTAATTCGGTTACTAAGTTCACTCACTTGGCTGTTTGGCTGTCAACAGTTGTCAAATAGGAGTCTCTGCCGGTGGTCCCAAATTGTTCCTCGAGTATAAAGCTTTTTCGCGCTTGAAAAATGATCCAGGTGAGTGAAATTTTTGATGTGTTATTAAGTGAAATCTTGTTTTTAATATGGTGTACATCTCAAATCAATATGAGTTCTCTATTAATCAGTAATTCAAATGGCCAATGTTACAATCACTTGTAGCAAACATGTGCCGTTAACTTTGGCCACAGAAAAATAATACTAGGGCTGCCCACTGATAATTTTAGAATTCGGTACCTACCTACTCATGAGTTGATGGTAATCTTTGCTTATAACTTAGTTTTACAATTAGTTTTGGTATAATACCTAGAATACAGATTAAAATATGTATATTTGCTTATTATTTATGTCCATATATATTTACAGAATGGATACATCTAAGCCAAAATCAAGAAAAAAAGCAAGAAAAAGTCGCAGCCGAATTGGTGCCCGGCAATATAAAAATTATTCAAATGAAATGCTTGAAATAGCTGTAGATCTTGTTAGAATAAAACAGATATCAGCAAGAGAGGCGGCGCGACAATTCGCAATTCCTAAACAGACAATATTAAATAAATTAAACAAGTCTCATACAAAGTCTGTCGGATGTCCAACGCGATTATCTGATGACGAAGAAGCCAAATTTATTAAAGTTTTAATTGCTGCAGGGGAATTCGGATGCCCACTTAGTAAATTGGATCTTCGCCTCGTCGTGTTTGAATACTTGAAAAAGAATGGCCGCGAGGATGTATTTAACGGAGGGCCTCCTGGAAAAGCATGGCTTGATAATTTTTTGTCAAGACATTCATCAGATTTGTCAGTTAATAGCACGCAGAATATTAAAAAAAATAGAGCTGAGAAAGGGGTTGATGAGTTCATGGAATATTTTAGAAATTTAGAAGAGACTTTGAAAGATGTTGATATACTCAATTTTGACGAAACAAATTTAACAGATGATCCAGGATCTTCAAAATGTATATTTAGGCGAGGAGTAAAATATCCCGAGCGAGTGCTCAATTCAACTAAAGGAGCCATTTCGCTGATGTTCTCAGTTACAGCGAACGGGAGCTTGCTACCTATTTACGTTGTCTATAAGGCAGAGAATTTATATTCTGAATGGATACAGGGCGGACCGCGTGGTACTAGGTATAACCGCACAAGATCTGGGTGGTTTGATTCTTTTGTTTTTGAAGATTACTTTAACACGACTGTTATGGATTGGGCAAAGTCTTTACCTGGTAAAAAGGTCATTATATGCGATAATTTATCAAGCCACTTAAATGTGAGTGTTATCGAATTATGTGAGTGTCACAATATTCAGTTTGTTTTCATTCCATCTAGCTCGACACACATAACACAACCCCTTGACGTCGCTTTTTTCGCACCACTTAAAAAAGTGTGGCGAGCAATATTACTCAAGTACAACATGGAAAATCCCAAACAAACTACTCTGAATAAGAATAATTTCCCAAAACTTTTACATTCTTTAGTTCATCAAGTTGAAATATATTCATCTAAAAATATCAAAAGCGGATTTAGAGCAACGGGGATCTACCCATTCAACCCAAGAGAAGTACTGAAGCGTGTACCAGAGTATCAAGAAGATGTGGCATCATATGGGATTGACAATGCATTGCTGGACTACTTAAAGCAGATCAGGCAGTCAAATCCTATGATAACAAAAAGAAACAAGAAAGTTATGACTGTACCTGGAAAATCAGTAGCAGTCGATGATTTACTGTACTATTTAAAAATTACAATTATGACATTAGTTATATTTTAAACGAAAAAACGGGTCTCATGGAAGCCACAAAAACACTGATTTAGTATTTGAAACTGATTTACCCGTGATTTCGATAAAAGACCAAGACAAGCCCTAAAAGATAAATATTCTATCCGACAACATTTTACCAGAATATAAGACTGAGCCTATTGCAAAAACTAAAACTAAATACTTTAAAGAAATTGATACAAGCTTTAACATTTTATTACAAACTTTTCCTTCAGAACGCAATATTATCATAGAAAAACCACATACTGAAAATTCGGATGGTAAGGTTAGAAAAATAGATAATATTGCTTTTAATATTAACGTTCATGGTGTTTTAAGTAGTGAAGATAATGAGGATATTAGGGATGTTGTGAGTTGTTCTGCAAATAGCAGAGAGAAGACTAGCATTAAAAAAAGGAAGAAAAAACGTCGTTTGAGAAAAACTGTCAAAAAGGAAAACGTCAAACCAGTTAAGAGACCAAGAAAATCTCTAGATAGTTCTACAACTACTGAGGAAGATTGGATTAGCACCCATAGTGATTCTGACATAATTGAAGCACTTAGTGATGTTACAAATTTTGAAATAAGTATGGAAGAGTCTACAAATATTGATGAATCTATAAATATGGATAAACAAATAATAAAAGAAGATATACATCAAATTGACAAGAATTTGAATTCTTGACAATTTGATGTATATCTTCTAATTCGAAAAAAGAGTATTATGAATTAGGAGAAAAAGTGTTGGTAAGATACTATCAGTCAAATAAATGGAAGTACTATGTAGGATTAATTGAAAGTGTTAATGACAATTCAAAAACTTTTAATATATCTTATTACAAATGCATAAAAACAAAGGATTCGGATGATATTAAATTTATTAAACCTAAGCTTTGGATCGAGATATAGCCGTACCAGAAAGTAACATTGTTAAAATTATAGAACGTTTACAGTTCAATGAAAGTCCTGAAGAATATGCATTAATGTGTGATAAGGATTCTGTGTACTTTTAAGAATTTGATTTTATGTCTTGTGTTATCATAAAAAGTATATTGCTGTATTTCTTTGGTATTTACTAGAATGTATCATTTACACGCTCATTTCATAAAGTTCCTAAAGTATGTTTTTCATTTATTATTTTTTGTTTTTAGTACGTACCTAGGTTCTAAATAAACACTTTAAGCTTGGTACCTATTGTTATATATATTTTTATTTATAAATTTGAGTTTTCTCTTTCACCTCAACGTGATGATTAAGTAGTCTTGAGATTACTAAATTGAAAAATGAATCTTTTTTTAAGAATTTTGATCTCACAAATACGTGATAGTAATTTAAGTACTTACTCATAACCATTTAATACTTGATATAATTTGATAGTCTATGTTGTTGTCTACTTGCTCAGTAAAAGTGCCATATGCTAATATTGTACCAAATAAATCTCATATAATAAAATGCGATTGATTAAAACATGTTTTTTTTTTTTTGTAAAACACCCAACCAATATAAAATAATTAAAAAAATTGACAACCCTGAGTCTAAAACTGTTTTGTACGGAAATTTAAAAAAAGTTTCAGGTATCTTTGGCCACCTCGCTGTAAGCCAAAATATTTAACTTTTTGTGATTATTGCCTTTTATACGTCTTCTTTGACCAGTTTCCTGACATAGTTCTTAAAGTAATCGGCATTGAGACTATAATTCAAGAGTTATAAGCAGTGGCTAATGTTGACAGTAAGCTGATGTAATTTTGGCCGACTAAAAAAATATAGTTTTAGGTAAGAAACTGTCCTAATTTTCGCAATTTCTGTGAATTAACATCAACAGTTGAGGTTTATAACAAAACATTTAATACCATCGATACCTTTATAGGCAATAAGTGATTTTAGAAACAAGGTATGTACTACATGCATATTAAACACAGCTTCTGTTGTTTAATTTACCTTTATTTGTAAACGTAGGATGCCGGTAAGTTACATTATGAAGAAACACTTACCTACTTTAGGTAGGTAGCTATGTTTAAAATAATAAGTGAGCTATTTATATATTTATGTACATTGGTGTGTACGTATACTAGTATATGTATAGAAATAGAAATAGAAACTTTTTTATTCAATGTAGATTATAAAAATACTTATTGAAAGCATTGAAGTAATATGTACTTACGTACTAGAACAGCTATCTCAAACAAAAAATGTGCGCTACTCTGTGTTCGCGCGGTTATTTTTTTATCATAGAATAAACATAGGTAGAATGACACGTAGGTAATATTAGATTGTATTGTTAAGTAGGTAAATTATATCGAGAACAATATTTAAATTTTGTCATTTATTTTGTGTATTATAGTTGCTTATTTAATATACTATTACATAATATTATATCACAATTACATTTTAATGGTATTTATATCTGAATATTTTAAAAGGTATCTATGTAAAATATAAAAAACATACTAAATGTATGTTTAACAAAACTTATTAACATAACATATAAATTACAAATATGTTTATTTAAATTAGAATAAGACTCGTTCATAAATACTGGGCACGCGAGAGTTAAAAATGGACGAATTTATACCACTTTGACTTTGATATGGAAACCTAAAAATAAAATAAAAGAATAATAAGCAGATTTAAACATGAAAAATTTTGCCTAATTATAATAATTTATATATGTTTCTACTAAAAAAATGTGTATACTAATATATTCATCCCATACTTAAGAACCCACAGAAACGTCACATCTGAACGTATTAATTTCATAGTCCATGACACGAGATGGCGTCTTAGGAATAATTTGTTTTATTATTAATCTATAATACTTTTTTATTGATTAAGTATCTTATTAACCGATGAAAAGTAATTCCTTGGTTTTTACTGACATTTCTTGAATTATTTGTGCAATATTTAAGTACACACGACGGCATATTTTTATCAAGAGATTTTTTTTAAATCAACACAACACGTGTTCAACTCTACAAGCGCCTAGCGAGTGACTGATTAAAGTGCGGTGTATGCACCGCAGTTGAGTGGAACAGAGTAGCTGAATGCAGTGTCGCCTCTAGTACGTAGTACATAATAACTCAATGATTGAAAATCACTTTTTTAATTTACCACTGGTTCGCAAAAAAAACCTCTATCCTGGGAAGAACCAGCAAGAAACCCGGCGGGACTATTTTTTTTAATAATAGCTTACAATCATGTTTACAATCAACAACACAAGACAAATCAGAAATAGCTTGTTAGCGATCACCCTTCCCAGGGGTTATTATCATCTATAAATTCCTTAATATTATAATAACCCTTTTTATACAAACTTAGTTTAATAACATTTTTGAACTTTGTGTATGACAAATTTTGTATATTCTATATATCGTTATATACCTATGTAACGATATATAGAATATATTTTGCCATGATATAAATAAATGAATTATAAAATTAACTCGAAAAGTAAATCACTTTGTCAAAATTAATTTGTCAGTGTTTTTTTTTGCGCCCGAAGCAAATATGGGCAACCCTCCGGAAAGCGGGGGAGGGAGGTGGGGAATGCTCATAGCATACCACGTAGCCGGTTGCGTGGTTATGTGGAGACTTTTACCCACTAAACCCCACCTTTTAGGGACTGGCTTAACGGTCTAACTAGAGATCTCTAAGACGTATACGGACGCGACCCTCCTTGGCATAAAGGAGGGTGCAAGTCAGTAAGACCTAATATCTTAAACCTAAAACTACTTAATTTTACTACTGTTATTTTATTAAGTTGCTTTAAATTGTTTAATTTCTATCGTTTTTATTCTTTATAACTGTACCTAGCTTACCTTTATATTTAATATGTGGATAACTGTTATTGGGTTACTGTTATTATATAAGTAAATTTGAAATTCTATTTATACGCTATTGTTATCATTATTAAAATAAAATAAAAGACACTGAAAGTGACAATCTCGTGTTGAAAATATGGATTTTATTGACTAAAATATTATAGTTAATGATTGCTTAATTGTTGTGACTACTAATTGTGTAAATGTTTTTTGCTAACCCATTTCTTGAGTGACGTCACACCGTCACCGGCACTTGGAGCGCACGGCTAGTACTTAAAATAACAAAATATTAATAAAGGCTTGTTGTTACATCGATAATGTAGAAAATTAGTCTTTTTGACACATTTTTCCATACGATGGAACCAATCATTGAAGCAACCATTCCATTCGGAAGTTGGGGTCTCCAAAATGGCCGTTTTGTAGGCTTCCACAGCTTCTTCAGGTGATGAAAATCTCTGTCCACGCAATTTATTCTTATTTTAGGGAAAGTATAGAAATCATTAGGGCTTAAGGTCAGGGCTGTACGGCGGATGGTCTAATAATTCTATGTTTTCTTGCTCTAAAAACTCTTTCGTTCTGTGTGCGGTGTGAGAACTCACATGTCGTGAGGAGGAGTTTATTAATTTGAAGCGTGGCACTGCATAGTGCTTATAATCTTTTTTCATATTTGGCTCAAATTTACTTGTAGCAACACGTAAAACTGCTTCCAAACTTTCATAAGGCGGTGTCGATTTTTTGTTTTATTATTGAAAAGGTTTGTTCACATATATAGGTAGAACCAATTAAGCTGGCATATTTCAGAGCGTTTATTCGCAACTCTTTGTACATATTTTTATCAATACAGCGGTAAAAGTTCAGCAAGTCTCCTTCGTTGAATTTGTTGCGTAAATCTGAGTCGTTTTGAATGTCGATAATTTCTAACTGCATTGACTCTGGGGCGCATTTTCAACTGAAATCGTGAAAGGATTGCTGAATATGTCCAACAGAGGTTTCACTTTTTTAAACTCCGAAAATCTGTCTTGAAAAGATTGAATCAAAATATCTAGCTTTTCTACATATCTGAAATTAATCGCAGTATTGTTGAATTTTTCAGCAATTTTCTTATAATTCGGAAAATGATTGTAATTTCCAGAATTCAATTGCGATCTGAAAAGAGTCAGCTTGCATTGAAAGGATGATACATGAGCGTAGAGCTGGGATATCAGTTGATTTTTGCCTTGAAGCCGTGTGTTCAAGTTCAAGACATTCAAATGATTAGTAATGTCAACTAAAAAAGCCAAATCACACAACCAATCAGGTAAATTTAACATCAATACTAATACGAGGGGTGATCCAAAAGTAATGATAATGAAAATAAAACACGGTAATTAAAGTTAAAATAATAATTTATTTTTCTACAGTCTCCTAAAAAATCAATACATTTAGTCCATCTTTTTTCTAAACCCAGGATTCCCTTTGAAAAAAATTCTGTCTTGACCACTGACTTAGAAGTATATAGACTGGGCATACCTACAGAATTAGCGTGACTACCTACAAAAATCTGGCGCATAAAATGGCCGCCTTTTATATGGTTGTAACTGTGCAATATGCGTAGCTGATATCGATATTTTAATTAATATGAATTTTTTTCTCATTTTATATAATTAGATTTGTTGCTTAATTTACTTTATTCCGTAGGTATTTACATAGATACAGGGCTGAATATTCAATCGTCAAATAACTAATCTGGCGAATAAATGTGACTGACTGATTTATGGTTTTTGTGTAGTTAGAAATTAAATCCTTCTTTTGCGTTTAAAGTATTACTGGGATGGTGATCCCAGATTATTAATGTAAAATAATAATTTAAATATTGCTGGGATGGTGATCCCAGATGCCATATTATTAATGTAAAATAATAATGATTAGTTGAGTAAAAATGAAGTAAACTGTTTTAAAAATCAATACTTATTTATTATTAATTTTTCTGCACATAATTCATCACAAATAGTAAGTTATACAAGCAAGTTGTATATCATATTTTATTTATTCATTCGGATTTTAAATGAAAAATATTATCAAATATCGAAAAATTCGAAAATCTGGCATGATCACGAATTATGATATGCAGGATATCATCCTTACATATTTCATCCACCGTTTCATGATCATGATAGATTTTTATATAAACTATTATTATTATTATTTGTTCATTTCTGAACAAAATTATTTTTTAATATAATTTCTATAAGACAGTTTGTCACTGCTTCTTCTTGCACGGTATCTGAACCTTTTTCTGCTACAAATCCCGCAATATATTCTAATACTATTGATAAGGTTTTTTTAATAATTTAAATAACGACTTTAATAGAGCATACTGAAGACCACTCCTAAAAGTTTTTGTTTTTTCTCCCCCAACTAGTAGCGACAAACAAACATATACTGCGATTTTTAATAATTACAAAACTTCTTAGCAGTTTTTTTATTGGCTAAATAAATTACAAAATTATGCATGTTACATAAAGTAATAATTAAAAAATACATCCCTAACATAACACTTGAAATAAACTGTAAGACACTTATTTGACATAATAAAATATAAATAGAAGAAAAACACCTACTATAAGATAAGATGAAGGCACTGCACTACACAACAAAAAAAACTTTTAGCATTCAACAGTTTGAAAGCAGATCTACCACAAAACTCAGCGCTTAAGAGCGCATATTCAAATATGTCCAAGTCGAAATCTACGCGATCGCTTTGGAACGGCGTAATATTGACGCACACTACAATGTTATCTCTGTGTGCGTGTCAGGGCGAGCGTAAGGCTATAATAGTTGCCTAACGACGACTACGAATCACTTTGATCTTTGATTATATACCTGTCTTTGATACTATTGGAACTAATTTTTTTTTCTGCGGGTAGGTGCTACAGTCAACAGCTGTTTTTAAGTGCTCCTATTTATAATTTCAAATTTTATTAATTTCCACAATAGATAAGTGTAAATTATACGATAATTATATTGAGAAAAGAATACCCTATGTAAACAAGCTTTTAATAACTTACTGCATCACCCATCAGCAACACTAGTATTTACCACCATTAAGCACTGTTACATTACGATTACAATATGGCAAGCATCAATAATGTTGACAAAATACAGAAAGAACTGGAAGTCAGCTGGATGCAAAAGATGGCAGAATTCGAAGATCGTTTGAAGGCTGCACTGGTCCCATCCAATCCAACGTTAGTGCAGCTAGGTCAGGAATTTTATGCATTCAAGGATATGGTCACACAAATGTTTAGTCTACTGCAAATGCAAGTTAGAAGTTGTATAAAGACAATTGATGGACTTGACATGCGGCAACGGCAAAATGTATTGCTATTCAATGGCATTCCCGAGGACTCTGAAGTAAGCTTAATTGATAAGGTTCTAAGCTTAATACATAGCAAAATGGGCCTTTCTGATGTGAGCAGAACCTCGATCAAACGGTGTCATAGATTGGGCTCACAAGGTAAAGATCAAGTTAGAGCAGTCCTCGTCCAGTTCCATGATCACCATACAAAATCATTAGTTTGGAAGTCTAAGGCTAAGTTAAAAGGTGCGTTTTTCACATTGTTTGAGTTCCTCACAAAGACGCGTCAAAATATTCACAAACAGCAGGAAGTACTTTGGCATGAGGAATGTGTGGACGCTTGATGGCACAGTCTATATTAAACTGCCTGATAGTAGTCGGGCAAAAGTAACTTTAGAGGAAGACTTCAATAATCTTGTCACGAAGTACTCGCCAGGGTGTTCTCCTCTTTCAAATATATCACCTCCCAAAACCGAAGATAGCACAGGTAATCTCTCTGGTGTATCACAACCAAGTACATCTAAATGTAGTCGCCAACAAGAAGTGGTCTCACGCTATCAAGGGACACAATCGGGTCCAAACAACGAAAAAAAAGGGTACCGTAAATGCGTACAACATGAGACTCGAAGGTAAACTGAGACTAAACTTCCATGGCATATATTATTACATGTAGTATCATTATTATTTTGGCAACACTGCCAGTTCAGTTTCAAATTTGTTGTGTGAGGTTCCATACTTGCTGTCGTGAAGGATTTTTTACCAGGTAAGTAGTATTTTTTGAGAAATAGACATTAATTTGTTTGTGAAATATATTGTTGTACTACATATACCTCAGAACTCTGATAATTGACTAATAAGTACTGTGCTTTAAATCGATTAATCAATCCCATCTTGTGAAGCATGTTCCCATAGACAAAAAAAAACTCCATGTTTTAGACTATTTGTTAAATGTTGCCAGAATAAATTTAAAATTTCCTCAAACTGGACGCATTTTATTTTTATGATGGAAAATTGAGACCATGTCAATGCATCAAATTAGGTGCTTATGAGTCAAATTAGGTGCATATATCTCAAATTTTATTCAAATCGTTAGTGGTTCAATTTCAAGTAATTATGATAATTATTGATGATACATTTTTTTTTGTTTCAGTAATTATGTCTTCGCAAAGACGAAGAGTTCTTGGGGCGAAACCCTACCGAAATTATAGTGAGGACACTTTGAAAGCTGCTATGGCAGCAGTTGACCTGGCATGACTTTGAGGGAAGCGGGAGAAAAATTTAAAATACCTCGAGCAACTTTAAATAGAAAACACCGAAGGCTACAATTAAACAAAGTCGGCCGTCCTAAAGTTTTCAATGAAGCTCTGGAGGAAGTCTTTGTGCAATCAATCATTACAGCTGCTGCTTGGGGATATCCACTATCAGGTTTAGACCTATCTTTACTCGTGAAATCACATCTAGATAGGCTAGGTCTAAATGAGACACGTTTCAAAGGTAACTTACCGGGACGATATTGGCTGGAAGGTTTTCTACGGCGCCATAAAAGCACTTTATCTGTAAGGCTCTCAGAAAATATTAAACGCCAAAGAGCTGGAGTTACGCAGGAGACATTAAAATCATACTTCCAAGAATTAAAAACCACCTTGGAGGATGTAGATCCGGCCGCAATAGTAAATTTTGACGAGACTAATATGTCTGATGACCCGGGACGCCAGAAAGTGTTGGTACGTCGAGGTATCAAGCATGCTCATAAAATCATTGACTCATCAAAATCAAGTACCTCCGTAATGTTTGCTGGGACAGCGTCAGGTGTTCTGCTTCCACCGTACGTCGTTTATAAAGCGGAACATTTATATAATACTTGGACGGAAGGAGGACCTCCAAATACAGTTTACAACCGATCTCGGAGTGGATGGTTTGACACTACAATATTTGAGGATTGGTTTTTGAAGGTCATTATTCCTTATGTTGAATCGTTTAATGGCAGAGGACCCGTGGTTGTAATTGGTGACAATCTGAGCAGTCATTTTTCATTAGATGTGATATAAAAGTGTACTGACTATAATATTAAATTTGTTTGTTTACCGGCAAATAGTACGGGGTTGTGCCAACCCCTCGATGTAGCAGTGTTTCGACCATTAAAAATAAAATGGAGGTCTGTTCTGCTGTCTTGGAAGGAAAAAAATAGAGGAGTAATGCCGAAGCATGTTTTTCCGAGGCTTTTGAAGCAAACTCTGGATAATATAGAAAATATGGGAAAAAATTTGAAGTCCGGATTTGAAGCAGCTGGGATATATCCAATTAATGAAAAAAGAGTCTTAGATAGATTGCCTACACAGGAAGATCCAGAAATCCATAATAATGCATCTCAGCAATGGTTAGAAACGTTTAAAATGTATCTCGAAGATATGCGAACAAAAGAATGCAGCACAGCCCCGAAGAAAAAAAAGGTGGCAGTTATTCCAGGTAAAGGTGTAACAGTAGAGGACTTATCCGAATCATTAAAGACTAAGACGAAACGTAATAAAACGAAAAAACAAAAAAAAAAGATCGTCGATAATGAAAGCACTTCCTGCAGTGATTTAGAAGAATGGAGGGAAGCAGTTTTGAATACTGCAAACTCATCATCCGATGACAATAATGAGCTCGACACAGTGTTTTTTGATGATGTTCATGACATGTTTCCTGGTGATGATGAAAGATCGGCGTCACCACGTATAACTAACATCCCACATAATGAGAACCAAGAAAATGAAGATCCACTCAATGTAGACCAATCGGTCTATACTGACGAACAATTTAAAGTTTCTGTACCTAGTGATGGTGGTGCTAGTTGCTCTAAAGATATCGATACAGAAATTGTAAATAATTCGGAGATTTCAACAGATTCTTTTGTTGTTGTCGAATTACTCTACAATGAGAATACGAAAAAACAAACTGAAAAGAAGTTTATTGCTCAAGTTACGAACATGGTTAGCGACGGAAAAGTGACCTGTCGCTTCATGAGATGTTTTTCAGCTACAAAGGGTATTTACATATTTCCAGCAGTGGATGACATGATGACAATTGACACTTCTCGAATAATAAATACAATTAAGCCCACTCAAGTGAAAAGGGGAAAATACATTTTTAATATTAATATTTAATTATAAGACTAATAAAATTGTGTAAAATAATATTTTTTGTGCGCACTTCAAAGGGTATGCCTAGGTATAGCCTATGTATCGCAATAAAACGTTCCTAATAGCTTAGACTCCAATTTTGATCTCAATGTTTAAATTGCAAATGTTATTAATTTACTTAGTGTTAAGGGCTAATTTGAGACATGTGGGCAAATTGAGATCTCAAATACCTTCGGTCTCAAAATCGAGATTTATGTTGATTTATTTTTTGACGATTTATGAAGAAGTTTGTTTTTTGTTTTATATAATTTTTATTTGATTTTTGAAGAACTAGTAAAAGATCTGGTAAGATTTGGAGATAATATTTTGTATTATTTAATACCTCTAGTTATAACTGATTTATTATTGTTTTAATTTGCGCAAATTCAATATTTTGTTATTTTTTAACGTCTCAATTAACAAACATTGAAATTCTACATGGGAAACCATGACTTTTATAAGGTGTCTTATGTTTACCGCATGTTGCAGGTAAATTGAGACAAGACGAAATAAATATATATAAAAAAAAAACTACATTGATTGGCTCAATATTGCAATATGCTCCTATTACCTTAGATAGAGACTCATGTTCTAGTAAAATTTCAAACCATAATTATTAAGAATTACACCTTATACTGTGAATTGAAATTTAAACTTGTCTCATGTTGTATGCATTTACGGTACGCCGCGTTGTGACCAAAAAATAATGACGTTGTTGATATTTTTACACACTTTCTCAAGGTTGTTACGATTCTTTAAAATAATTAGGTTACTTTATTCAGTCCTATGTTACTTGGTATCATTCAAGCTTTTATTATTTCTAATGATCGTATTGTAGTAATTATCGTTGCATTATATTTATCTTTTTTAGTTTCATTGACTTACTAAACTACTAAGGGTTTGATATTGTGTATTATTTACTTTTTATAATAAGAATAAAGCAGCTAATAATAGTATTATAATATTGTTGGTAATAAAGTAGGTAGAAAAATATAAACAAATTAACAAACTGTTATTTTGTTACTTTGTGAAGATAAAGAATATTGTTGTAATTACGATATGCCAAGTACAGGCAAAGGTATTATTCCTTGCATCCTAGTGTGTTTTAATGTTTCTAAAATATTGTTAGCAAACGGATGTTATTTTATATTATTTTATACCATGACTAAATTTTACAATTTTTACTATATCCCTGTTAACATTGATTTCAAGAAATGATTTGGTTACACAGACACTAACAAATTAAACGTTTGATTTTGTTTTCGTTGGGAAAGACTAACTGTGGACTAATTAGTTTAATTTTGATGTTTTGTTATATCCTGTTTCTGTATTTACTTGTATAATAGTGTATTTTAATGTTCTATTAATTTAAGGTTATTTTTAAAAAACAATGATTGTTATCTTTATTAGTCAACTGATGGGATAGAGCAGTGATAGTGGAGTAGTTGATTTTCTGGTTTATACGTATAGCGTTGCAGATATTTTATACTTAGACTTTGTTTTATCTCTTAATATATTTAATATTTTATTATTTATTATTATCTAATATACATATTATATATAAATCTATTTAGAAATTAATAATGTCTGATGATGAATCTTTTTATTCCATGTATAGTTCAGAATCCTCATACGCCTTTGGTAATGATCTTACAGATAATTTACTTCCCTTACGCGATCAGTTAAGTAATATTTTTCTGCCTCATAAAAATATTTTAATGTTTGTCATATTAATGCACAGAGCATTCCAAGTCATTTTTCCTACTTAGAAGAAGCATTCTCACTAGACTGTGTCGATGCTATCTTAATATCTGAGAGAGTTGGCTTAAACCATCTATTATGTCGAGTTTGTACCCATTACCCAATTTCATTCTTATACGCAATGATCGGACTGAGAAGGGGGGAGGTGGTGTCGCTATATACCTACGAAAAAATATTCCTTATAAAGTTGTTCTATCTTCCCCCCTCCCCATTTTCTGCCACTGCTGAGTTTTTATTTCTAGAAATAAACATTATGGGTGCTAGGGCAGTTTTAGGTGTTGTATATTGTCCTCCTGTGGATTATTTTACCTCACTTGAGACGGCTCTTGACACCATTGGATCTGAGTACATACATTGCATGATAATGGGTGATTTCAATACTGATTTGTTAAAAAATACTTCTCGCTCCCAAAAACTTCGATCAATCATTGAATCAGTCGAACTCTGCATTCTCCCATTGGCGGCAACTCATAGAAATACTGACACTGATGATTCGTTGATTGACCTCATTATTACTTCCTCTTCTGATCGCGTGATTCAGTTTGCGCAGCTCTCTGTTCATTGTTTCTCACGTCACGACTTGATTTATTTTTCATATAAACTTAAACCTCCAAAACAGAAACGTATTTTTCTGCAGTTACGCAATTTTTCAAGAATAAATATTGAGAGTCTCAGGAGAGACGCATCTTCAATTGATTTTGGCCCTTTGGTGGCAGCTTCTAACGTCGATGATAAAATATCCTTTCTAAATAATAGCATCCTGAATCTGTATAATACTCATGCTCCGGTACATTATGTAAAACTTAAGCGTCCTCCTGCTCCCTCGATGAATAAAGGGGTACAAGTGGCAATGGCACGACTAGATCGGGCTTTCCAGAAGTTTAAAAAGAATCGCTCAGAAAAAAATTGGTCTAACTTTAAAACGCTAAGAAACAGGTGCAATCAGGTGGTACGAAATGCTAAACGCCGCTACAATCATGACAAAATAACTAATTCTTCGCCCATTGATTTGTGGAAATTCCTGAAGTCTACCGGAATTAATAAAGCTAATTCTCCGGAATATGGCGCCTCTCTCAATTTGGATGACATTAATCCACTTTGTTTCTATTACTTCATTGGACCCTCAAGTCCGTTCTCAAACTATTGTTTCTATAGAATCAATGCAGCCTCTCCGGATCCCTGACTTTTGTTTCTCCCCTGTTACTCAGGATGAAATTAAAAAAGCTCTGTTAGCCATTAAATCCAAGGCTGTGGGTTTTGATGAAATTAGTAAGCAAATGGTGTCTATGATTCTTGAGTACCTTATTCCAACTATAACACACATTATAAATTATTCTCTGGACTCAGGTCAATACCCTTCTGCATGGAAAAAGGCTTTTGTAAGACCTCTTCCTAAAAAACCTAATCCTGTTTTCCCTAACCATTTTCGTTCCATATTCAATACTCCCATACCTCTCTAAAGTTCTGGAAGCCTGTGTTTTTAAGCAAATATCTGTATTCGCTGCAAAACATAACCTGCTGAATGAATTTCAATCGGGGTTTCGCTCAGGTCACAGTACTACCACTTCGTTTATCAAAGTCACAGACGATTAAGAAAGGGCTTAGAAGAGCAAAAATTAACAGTAGTGGTGCTTATTGACTTTTCAAACGCTTTCAACACAGTGGATCATGGTATCCTCCTATCCATCCTTAAACACCTTAAATTTTCATCCCCAGCCTTGGAATGGTTTTCTTCTTATATTCGCGGTCGCCAGCAATCGGTTCGCTCAGGTCAGCGATTTTCTGCATGGGCTGAAATTGAATCTGGTGTGCCGCAAGGCGGAATACTTTCTCCTATTATGTTTTCCTTATTTATAAATTCTATATCCTCAGTTTTAGATTGTTCGTACCATCTGTATGCGGATGATCTCCAGCTTTATGTACAGTCAAGCTTAAATAATCTTAACTTTGTAATACACAAACTAAATTATAACCTGGAAGCCGTAAGAGAATGGTCATGTAAATATGGCGTTTCTGTTAATCCTGCCAAATGCAAAGTTATAATATTCGGAAGTTCGCAATTATTGGCTAAGGTTGATTATGGAAATCTCTCTCCTGTAATTTATAATGGAAGTTTGATTCCATAAAAAATCTTGGCCTGTACATGGATAAAACTATGACCTGGAAATTGCAGATCTCTGAAGTTAGTCGTAAAGTTGTTGCTACCTTGCGTTCCCTTTATCTTCTTAACCCTTTTTAAGGCAGTGGCCACTATATTGCCACCAATTTTAGAATTTTTTTTCGGGCAATTTTTTATCTTTCTGGTATTTTTTTTTACTGGCAAGCTTGAGATATCCTGTCAACGTATATTTTTTGTTGTGTGGGAATTGTCAAATTTAATTGACAATTTTCAAACTTTGAAGGGTAAAAACCGGTGATTTTGTGCGTGTAACAAATCTAGCTCAATCTTTAAAATCTTTTGGGAAACTGGTAAGAGTTTGCATTTATTTCAATAATTACGTATGTCACTTGTACGATCGAGTAGTATTTTGTAAAATTACGTTTATTATTTTGATAAAATTTTGTATTTAACTGGTGGCAATATATCTGCCACTGCCCGTGTAGATAATAATATTACAGTATTTACTGCATAAGCTGCTGCAACAAATTTTGATAAATTAGTCAAAGTAAGACCAATACTGGATTTGCTGAATATTGCATGTCAGTGAGAAGCGAAAACAACATCGTCACAACCAATAGATGAATCGATGATTCGATTCAAGGGACGTTCAACACTAAAACAGTACATGCCCTTCAAACCCATCAAGAGAGGATACAAAGTTTGGGTAAGAGCTGATAGCAAAACTGGTTATGTTTACGAATTTAACATTTACACTGGTAAACGTGAAGACCAAGCTCCTGAAGTCGGTCTAGGAGTCAAAGTAGTGAAATCTCTCACACAAAAACTCATTGATCAAGGCTTCCGAGGACATGTAGCTTTTGACAATTTCTTTGCATCTTATGAGCTCTTGCAATATTTGTTTGAAAACGGAATATATGCCACCGCAACCGTCAATTCTGGGAGATCTGATTTGCCACTAATACTAAAAAACGCTAAGAAAAAGAATGTATCAAGACAAGAAAAAATACATTTAGAGAGAGGTGAATATAAATGGCGTACTAAAAATAATGTTTCCTTTATCATGTGGCAGGATACAAAAATAGTTACAGTTTTGACCACCGCATTTCACCCCAAAATTTGCCAAACTATATATGAAAGAAAGCAGAAAGACGGTACAAAAAAAACGTATCCTTGTCCAACAGCGGTACTTGAATATACAAAACGTATGGGCGGTGTGGATCGTTTCGATCAGAAGCGGAGTACCTATGAAGTCGGCAGAAGAAGCAAGAAATGGTGGCTTCGCATTTTTTATTTTTGCATAGACCTAGCAATAACAAACTCGTACCTTCTCTACAGTTCAAACAGCCGCGTCCACAGTATTATGCCACAATTAGCGTTTAGATTATCTTTGGCACGTGGTTTTATAAATAATTTTTCATCAAGGAGAAAGAGCTTGGATACCCAACCAATGTATCATAATAAGAAGCCCAAGATGTCAGATAATTACCAAAAAACCGGCTCTGTAATCGATGACCTTCGTTTTGCCAGTGTTGGAACACATAAACATGAACGTTTGCCAACTTATCGGCGATGTCGTGTATGTAGCACAAAGACAAACAATAAAAGGTCAAAAATTCAATGTTCCAGATGCAAGGTTCCACTCTGTGTGGTACCTTGTTTTGATATTTACCATGAACAGAAATAAAAAGTTACATTAAGAATAAACCTTATTTTATTTTTGATAGTCTTTTACAGGCAGCGGCAACTATATTGCCACCAAATTTTCCCTTCGATTTTCACGAAAAAAAATACATAAGGCATTCATAACATATTGGCTTACAAAATCCGTTTAATTTAAATTTGTTCCCTCTGCCTTATAAAGGGTTAAAAATTTCCTACCTTTCAAAACCAAACTTACGCTGGTTCATTCCCTTATTCTACCTATTATCGACTATGCCGATGTATGTTACCCAGATCTATCAGAAAATCTTCTAAACAAGTTGGAGCGCCTTCTTAATAATTCCATAAGATTTATTTTTGGTTTACGTAAGTATGACCACATATCATCCTATCGTTCAACGCTTAAATGGCTACCTATACGTCAAAGGCGATGCTCTAGAATTTTACTTGTACTTTATTCAATTTTAAACGATCCAAGGTCGCCTTCTTATCTTAAGGATAATTTTCATTTTTTTCATCCGATCGACAGTCGAACATCCCGACAGTCAAACCGTTTGAGGTTAAGGTTTCCACAGCATAAGTCAAATTTTTTTAGGTCGTCTTTTATGATACAAGCCATACAACTTTGAAACACCCTCCCCAAAGAATGCCACAAATAAAAAAAGTCTTCAAAGTTCTTCTCCGAGAACATTACCTGAAGGAAACTACTAATTAACATTATTTTCCTTAATTTTTGTCTTTCTTTTCTTCTTTTTTACTTCAGATATTTATTTCATTATATATTATTCAAACATCATATTATATATATCATTCATTTGTATATTTATTTACGAAGTATATATATATATATATATATATATATATATATATATATATATATATATATATATACACAACATGTAACATAATTAACGCACTTTGAGAAAGTAGTTTGTTCAGAATCGTTTACTGAATCGATTCCTACCATTTTTAATATAGGTAATTTTTTATCCCAAAAATAATTAAAACTACGTAAATAACAGTCACACTAAATCTGTACAGTCAAAACAAACTGAAATGGACCGTAACTTAAGGCGATAAGACTTTTAAGAGTGCAGTTTTATTTGTATTATTACCAATTGTGTCATTCAATAAAAATAAAGAAAAATGAACTTTATTTCAAGGACATTAAAGTCTTTGCATTCGTGGATTTGTACTGTGACCACAACATTCTTCCGGAATTAGTATAACTAATATGATAAATAATCAGTGCATAAAAATGGTTAACTAAAAATTCAGTGTATATATTATGATTATAACATAATATACTAATTGGGGTATCTGAGGGTGTGCGTTAATTACGTTACATATTGTATATATATATTTTAATGTATGTATATATTTTAATGTAATTTTTTACGTATAATGGTCGCACCTGCCAACAATTGTCCTTGGCACCCAGGGTTGACTGGCAGTGAATGCCACATGGCATTAAGTCCGTTTAAGTTTTTAAATAAATAAAATAATAAAAAAATAATTTCCATATAATGGCTTATATAGTGTATAGAAATCGGAGGCTAATATGTGGAAATTGTTTTATTCTTTTATTGAAGTCGGCTTTACATTTTCACCGTATTGAGTACATTATAATATGTATATTATGTTCTAATTGAAAAATATGTTTTGTATAAAATATATATCATTTGATAAACTTTTATTCTGTTTTGTAATGTAAACATAATTCATCAAACTAACAATTTCATTAGTGTCGGCGGGGATTAGTGTTGCCAGGTCTAGCAAGTAAAATTTCGGGACGGAAGGTAAAAATAATCGGGGATTTGGTTTTCATATCCGGACAGCTACAATGACTAAAAAATATAGGTTCTTTGTAGCCTTTTTGTGCTTTATTGAGAGCTGTGGTAGCTCAGATAGTCAACGCTAACTGTAAATATGACAGTATGCGAGTAATGCGAGAAATTGTGACTGTAACTTTATTTTTGTGCTTTATAATTATTCGGGTCTGATCTCATAAACGAATAAGTTTTCATCCAAACATCGTAAAAACTGATTTTTTTTTCATTTTAGGCAAATTAAAACATTTTTGAACTATTTGTTTTTTTTTTTGCTGTCCCTGAATTTTTCTTTAAACCCTTAATAAGGCTCGCGCCTGTTACAGCTAGAAAGTAAGTTACAGTGGAAATAGTGTAAATAGATACTGCAGAATTTAAAAAAAGTATTTGGAAAAAGGGGGGATGGTTTTTTACCCCCTTTTTTTGGGTGGGAAATAATATCCCTTTGCCCGATTATGTATGTGCACTGTGTCTCGAAGTGGGAAAATAATTCCCTTCGCCTATTTAGGCAAAGGGAATTATGCCTAGTTTTGTTGTTATTCATATACTAGTATTTCACCTGGTTTCGCTTTTTTCATTTCATTTATTTTTTAATTTTTTTTATGCGTTACGAACTTTTATTTTATTTACCTATGAATATTATCATGCATGCTAAATAAAAAGCGGTATTGCAATCGCATTTTTATTCTAATAATTAATATAGCTAATTACAAGTAAGCTAAAAGCGTGTTAAAAATATAATTATTCTTGGGGTGAAGCCTCGTGGAATAATTTAAAATATTTCTTTGCACATAGTGCAACTTGGCACGTGGAACACACTATTTTTGTTCTTCTCTCCTCTTTTTTTGTGCTACAAAATCGGCATCTTTTGTAAGTATTCCTTCATCTGGATGATGGACGCCGACATTGAGTAAACGTATCGCATCTGGAACTCCAAAGTTGGAGCCCTTTTTGTTTTTGAAAACAACCTGGCGTTTTACCTTGTTAGAGTAATTTGATATCAGCTCACGAGCCAATCGCAATCGAAAATTTCTATGAGAATGAGTACTTGCTACATGCACAGTGTTGTAGGTTATATAGCTGTTTATGATTGCCGCATCAAACATAAAGAAAAACAATCTCATCCAAAATTTCCTGCATTTTCTATTGATCGGATATGATGATCTGAAATGATCAAAGTGATCGACGCCTCCCATGGTGAGCGTATACTGAGCGATAGCTGTGGGGATGAGAACTTTTTTTTAGTACCATCTTTCTGAGTTCTCTTTACAAATACTGTGTCAGTTGGATGGTGAGCTGTTGTAAGAATATTAACATCCCTTGTATCAAGCCACTTGATTGCTGTAATTGGTTTAGCAGTTACAGCTGCAAATTGGTTCCTTTCAAGTCTTAAATGTTTTGGTTGAGACTTTTTAAAAATTTCCGGAAGATCTTTTCTATTTACTCTAACTGTACCAACAGCAAAAATTTGATTTTCGTACAAATCTTCCATTAGGTTACAGCTAGTGAAAAAGTTATCAAACGCTATCAGAGTGTTCTCAGGAAGGCCGGCTGACAGCTTTTTAACCACATTGTACCCCAGTCCCTCGTTTTCCATACTGTCTCCTTTCCCGGTATAAATTTCGAACTGGTACAGATAGCCGGTTACAGAATCACAATGTGCCCAGATTTTGAAGCCACGCTTGATTGGCTTCTTTGGCATATACTGCTTTAAAGATGATCTTCCTTTAAACTTCACCATGCATTCATCTATTGATTGTTTACTTGAATTACCTGTTTCCTGCTGGAACAATTTATTAAGCTCTTGAATCATTGGTCTCAACTTGTACATTTTATCGTATTCCGGTGAGTTCCTATTTGGTTCTTTTTCATTGTCATTTATGTGTAAATTTTCAGTTATTTTTTTATATCTTTTGATAGGCATAATTTTTGAAATTTCTGCATTATTGTAAAAAGGGTCATTAGACCAATATAGCTCCATATCAGGCAATGGGTTTAACCCCATCATTATTAATATTCCAAGGTAAGCTTTCATTTCCTCTGATAATACTGGTGTAAAATTATTGCTTTTATTCTGAACCGCATATCTATTTGTTTGTTCCACTAGAACTTGTACTAAATATTCTGGAAAAAGTTTTGAAAAACATCGATAGGCCGCGTTTTATGACTATATGTTGATTGTGGTTGAATTGAATTGGTAAATTCAGGAACATTGTGTATCTCTGTTTCAATTTTCCACTCCCTTGGTTGTCTTACTGTATTCATAGTTCTGCTTGATCTTGAGCGACGATCCGGTTCTGTTACAATAACATTACTGCTTGAAGGTCTTGCACTTAAGCCATTTGTAGATATTGGAGTATAGTGGGAGTGTTCTTCACGGATATCATCTAAGCATTGCTCTATTTCAGTTTCTCGTTGGTTGCAATCCATAACAAAGCTTTCTTCATAAGTTGCAATATTTTCCTCTGTTGGGAGAACATCATATTGTCCTGTTGTCTTACCCACACTACCAATAGGTCTAGGACTATTTATTTCTAAAATATCTGTGAGTGCTTCTACTGAATATATTTCTTGGCTTTCAATAGTTTCTTCCAAGTTATCAGATACACCAAACAACTCTTCAAGACGCCTTTCAACAATAACATCTTGAGACTCATTCTGGTAATCTGCCGGGCTGGTTACAGGGGCTGTTTGGTAATAGGCATCATCATCTGAGTCAAGATCGGATAAATCTGACAGGTTGTTCATGATATCTTCTAACTCCCGTTTCCCTAAATTTGTTTTTTTATTCATGGTGAATCCTACAAATAAATTATTACATGTAAATATCACATCTACATCCCCTAAGAAGCTTACTTTCATTCAAATTTCAGCATTCTATTATTATTTGTATTGACATATTTGTGAGTTCAAACTTTCATATATATAATAAGAAATAAATTATAAACTCAATCGGGCCAAGGGAATAATTTTCCCACTTAGTATTTCGCAGATTTTAACGCTGTTATCAATGTTATACGCATAAAATCAATAAAAAAACATAGCTAAAGTTGTCATTTCATAAAAGATGGAAACATAATCTACTTACAAGATTTTTCGTTGAACAATAAAAGATTTTTTCTCGGAAGTAACCAAAAATCGACCGTTATTTTAGCACTTTTTCACGTCACTGAACTTTGACATTGACATTTCAATATAAGGTAGTCATTTTTTGAAAAGTGTTGCAAGTTATGAAATTTAAAATCTTCTAAAGAATAGTATATTTCGGTTGCGTTCATTCTATGGGCTATCTTTCATGTAAAATAAACATGTTTTTCAAAATAGTCTTGGTGGGAAACTATATCCCTTTGCCTTATTAAGGGTTAATGTGGTAGTAGCTAACAGATATAATCATTTTTGCTGTCAAAATTATGGATTAAAGTATAGAATAAGAAGATTAGTGAAAATCGGGACATTTGGCGTCCCGATCAAGGGTGAACCGGGACGTGTCACTTGAAAATCGGGACGTCCCGCGCAAATCGGGACACCTGGCAACACTAGCGGGGATCGAGCCCGGATTGTCCGCGTTTACGGCGAGCACTACGCCACGGTAATATTATCTATGATTACCGTGACTACGCCCTTGAGCTACTCAGCTCAAGCACGGCTCATATGTTTTATATCTGCATTGCGAGACTTGGTTATTTTACAAGTTATGATTTTGATGGCAAGTCTTTGTTTAATCATAACGTTATCTGCACACTAGAAATTTTACCTAAGTATATCGTTGGGGCAGTTTAAATACATTAATTTCACAAGGACAAACATCCAGACCTGGAACAATTATTTGTAGGTAATACAAATTTTTGTTACATGTGGGATTCAAACCTGCGGCGCTCAGCGCTACAATTCATTACCAAGTCACTCCGCCACGGAGCCAAAGGGGAAAGCCAACGATTTTGTATTTTTACTTGATCCGAATTGCTTGCGTTCATTACTCATTTCTAAAAAAAATTGTATGAAATGAAAATTTCCCACCATTACATCATTTAATATTTAAATATTACAATCATAAACATATTTCAAAATTACTTACTACCAAAAATATCGCTTATAAAAGTGTAAATCGTTTAAAATGCTCGATGGTGCTATAGGTATCTAGTTATAGTATGGTGTAGTATAGCCCTATCAGTGTATCAACGCGATCGCGCGGTGTCGGTGAGAAAAAGTAATACCTCCTGTCGTTGGGATTACCCGGAGCGTACTGAATCGAACGGCGTCTGCGCATGATGTTTTATAGTATTTTTAAAATAATTATATAAAATAATTGACAAAATAAAACGAGCTAAAATTTTTTTTTGGATATTTAACATTACATATATTTTGATAAAATAAGTAAAATAGATGTTTATAAGCAAATACATGGAAAAAATTACGTTGAAGTAGACAGTTTTGGTGATTTTATAATATTATTTTATAATATGAAATCGAAATATTTTCGTAATTTAGGTTTTGCTATACACTAAAAGTCTATATATTCCATTATAATAACGCTTAAAATAAAGTAAAGATAAGTAAAAAAAAAGTAAGATAACTCTGATGCATATTTTCGTAAAACGCTGTGAAGGGATTGTCTTTGCCCCAAAAAACAGTCATTAAAAACTATGATTTTGCATTGCTATGTACTAAATAAAGACTTCATCTTTCTAAAGCCCTAATTTTCAGCAAATAATCTCCTCACGTCGTTAAGATATCGCCTTTGGAAAAAACATAAAACATGTAGTTTTCGACGCGAAACGCATATGCCCTCTTAACATGGCGACGCAGTCACGCATGGATGAGCTAATGACGTCACACGAAAGTGTTGTCAAAATAAGCAATTTACAAACTGTTGTTGCCCCCCTTTTCTAATGAAGTTACTGCTTTGTTAAAAAGAAACAAAAGTATTTTTGACAAGTGAGTGTCAATATTATAGATATTTGTATAACTATTATTTCTATAGTAGAATACGCCGCCTCCGGTATTATATCTCTATGATCTTGACCCTCCCAAAACGCTTCAACAGCGGCCATTACTTCACTATCGTCTTCGAATTTCTTGCCTCGGAGGAGTTTCTTGAGCCGAGGAAAGAGATAGAAGTCACTAGGAGCTAGATATGGCGAATAGGGAAGGTGTTCGAACAGTTCGAATCCAGTTTCTTGAATAGCAGCCATTGCAACTGCGGCTTTGTGAGCCGGTGCGTTGTCTTGGTGAAACAGCACTCCACCTCGCAGTTTGCCGCGTCTTTTTTCCTTAATGGCCTCCCGTAATCTTCTTAATTGGGCTGCGTAGTAAGAGCCCGTAGTAGTGGCTCCCTTTTCCAAATATTCCACCATAATTATGCCTTGAGCGTCCCAAAAAACATGCCATAACCTTTCCCGCCGAACTTGAAACTTTGAATTTCTTTGGCGTCAGTGAGGAGGCTCGCTTCCAAGTCATCGATTATTGTTTAGTTTCAGGATCAAAATTGTGGATCCAGGTCTCGTCCATAGTCACAAAACGGAACCAAAAAATTTCTTGATCTGCTTGGAACTTTTCGAGATTGACCCTCAAAATGTCAACTCGATTTTTCTTTTGCTTGTCGGTTAACATTCTGGGTACCCAACGCGCGGAGACCTTTTCCATATATAACTCGTTCGCAAGGATTCTTTGAACGCTGCCATATGAGATCCCTGTGACCTCAGCTACATGCCTGATGGTCACTCTTCGATCTGCTAACACAACATCTTCAACTTTTTTCACGTTGTCTTCAGTGAGGGACGTGGATGGGCGTCCTTCGCGATGTTCATCTTCAGTGGATGTTTTGCCCAGTTTAAACTCCTTGGCCCAGCATGCAACTGTAGAATATGGAGGAGCAGTCCCCCAATGTTTCCACTAAGTCACTGTATATGTCTTTTGAAGAAATTTTTGTCAAACAGAGGTACTTGATGACAGCTCAAATTTCGTTTTTCTCCATGTTGATGTCTTTGACAGTTCGTATTCAAATGAATGTATTTCCTTGAAATCGTGATCTATTTATATGATTTTTTTTAGGCTGACGTAGTGAGTATAGAAGCAGGCAAAAAATTATCATTATTTTTGGATCACCCCTTGTAATGTAAATTTTACATCAATACATCCTGCATCTGCATCCGATGAAGCCACTGAGAAAAGCACTTTGCCCAATCGTCCTTAGGGGTCTCTTCAACGGCATTTTGAAACACAACCACTGCTTCCTCGGCGTTTTGAGTGTCGCCCTCGTAGCTACACTACTACTAGTCACATTCGATGTCGGTGGTTCGATTGCTGGGGCAAGCGATATCATTTAATATTTACATCGCTTTTCTAAGCACGCCCACACACGCCCCACAGACAATTTCGGCAGCGACTTTTGAGAACTCCCTTAAGTAGAAATGACAGCACCAACACTGGCTGCCCTCATCTTGGCACTGGATTTAAAACCTAGAAAATAAAAATATAAAATGAAGAATGCTGCAACAGTAAGGCAATTTACTTGAGTTGTTTTTGGCCACCATCCTCCACCGCTCCACATCCTCCAAATTATTTATTTTTATCTGAACAATTCGGCAGTTTTGTAGGACATCGATTTAGCAGCGCATCTAGATTTATTTAGTCTAATGATCAGTGCAGCTGCAAGAAGTTATAATATTATACTCCATAGGACCGCGTGGACTTAACACTTTGACAAAGGGGAACTCCTTCGTATGGCTTCTCCCATCCGGTCCGCCGATAGCCTGTGTTGCTCTATGATCCTCCACCAAGAACATTTGCTAAAATATGTTTTGTAGTGTGTTTATATAACCGGAAAACAGATAATGATGCACCCGGCAGTTTTAACCACAATACTTTCTGTCTAGCTTACATAAAATGCAACATAGTGTAGCATTTTCATAGCATTGCAGACAGGATAGATCTTTTCTATGGACTTGGCTTATAGATGGTTTTATTCCTTGGTGAAGAAAATATTAGTATTGCCACACTGCTAGACTCAAATAGAATACTTAATTGTCTTAGGTCCTTCTAACTAAACTTAATATGATAAAACTGGTTTAGGTTATATTTTGTCATATTGGGAGAGAAAAATATTACCTAGTAGATTAAAAAAAAAATTGAAACAAAAAACAAGTTACATTGTGGTCTCAATGGAGACCCAGTTGTTTGAAGTGGATTGCAGATATTCATGAGCTGTTGTGGTCTTACCAGTGTACTATTTACTTGTTTGCTAGTCAATATTACAAAGCACCTAATATTCTTTTACAAACATTTATGCATAATTTATTCGTCGTAGTCCCCCCATACAGAAATGCCAGAGGGCAGGATCAATTTCCATAATGATTTATATATAAAGTTTTAAATAACTTCCATCAAAATGACGTCTTAAGTTTTTAAATATATAGATCATTTTTCTATTATTTTAAACCAAGTAGTTTATACGTACTTTGAAGGTAAGATTCTTGTCTATTATTATGCTGAGGTATTTAAAAGTATTTGTATTTTCAATATAAAGACCGAACAGTTTGAAATAGAGGTCATATCACATGAACGTGCTATGATTAAATTTATTTGCGAAACAAACTTCGGATCGAAAATATTAAATGTTTGGCCAGGCATGACATGTATGGCGAATAGCCCTCCTATGAGGTAATTTTTGGGGGAGGCCTACGGTTTGCAGTGGATTTTGAAAGGCTGTGTTGAATAATGGATGAATCGATAAAGTAGAAGAAAAAGAAGCAGACATTGATAATAATTGCTATAAAAACCGAATCAGGCGTTAC